CGCCTATTGAAGAGGTTGAGGCTATTGAGGCCATCGACGTAGACGACGACGGTGAGCAGCAGCAGCAGCAGCAGCAGCAACAGCAGCAGCAGCAGCAACAGCAGCAGCAGCAGCAACGGCAAGAGCGGCAAGAAAGACGTGGAGGGCCCCCCCGGCAGCAACTGGAAGAAGCAAAGGGGCTGACGGGCCCCTGGAGCCAGATCTTCGGGGGCCCCCGCAAAGCAGCAGCAGCAGCAGCAACTGCAGCAGCAACAGCAGCAGCAGCAGCAGCAGCGCCGCGAGCTTCACCCCGAGACAGGAGAACGAAGTCTATCGCAAGTTCTAGCAGCTCGCCCCCAAGCAGCAACAGCAGCAGCAGCAGCAACAGCAGCAGCAGCAGCAGCAGCAGCAGCATTCAGGCATCCAGGGGGGGGCCCCCAAGAGGGGTACTAACAGCTAAGCAGAAGGAGGCAATGCTGCGGCGTCAGCAGCGTCAGCAGCAGCAGCAAGAGCAGGAGCAGCAGGAGCGTGTGCGTGTGCTGCAGCAGCAGCACGCAGCAGCAGCAGCAAGCCGTCAGTGGCTAGATAACCTTTCTTCTCTGCTGCTTCCTTCTTCTTTTTCTTCTTTCTCGCTGCAGCAGCTGCTAGCAGAGATGCCACAAACAAACAAATCCTCCTGGGGTGTATGTACAGCTGCTGCTACTGTCTTTCTATCTGGCCCCTTTGTATTCACCTCAGAAGCAGCTCTTCGTGCTGCTATTGAGGCTGCAGGTAAGATATAAAACTACACCTGCTGCTGCTGCTGCTGCTGCTGCTGCTGCTGCTGCTGCTGGAGCTGTTGCTGCTGCTGCTGCTGCTGTTGCTGCTGCAGCTGGCTAGAGCGTGGGGTTTGCTTCGTTCAGGTGTATTGACAACGCGGTGCCGGCGGCGGGCTCGTTGTACAGTAACGGGGTGTCTAGCCCCCACAGCAGCAGCAGAACCAGCAGCAGCAGCAGCAGCAGCAGCAGCAGCAGGAGAGGCAATGGTAAGCGAAACCCAAGTCCTAGAGGCTCTCGGAATATCGCTCGAAGCAGCAGCAGCAAGATTCATGCCGCTGCACCCCCGCAGCTGTCAGCCTCTTGCTGCACTCGTCAGCAAGACCCTTGGCGGCGTGCTGCAGCAGCGGCAGCAGCTGCTGCTGGCCCAGCACCAACTGCAGCAGCAGCAGCAGCAGCAGCAGCAGCAGCAACTGCAGCACGAACACCTTCAAAAGCAAGAACAAAACGAACACCAAGAGGAACGGGTGCAGGCACAGCCCGCAGAAGATGAAATGCAGGTTGATCAGCAGCAGCAGCAGGAGCAACAGCAACAGCAGCAGCAGAAGCAAGAGCAGCAGCAGCAACAACAGCACAACGAAGAGATGGCTGCTGAAGCTGAGCAGCAGCAGCAGCAGCTGCTGCATCTGCAGCAAGACGAGAAAGAGGAAGGAAAGGAAAACCAGCTGAGTCATTGGGATGCCCAGCAGCAGCAGCAGCAACAGCAGCAGCAGCAGCAAGAGCAACAAGAACAGAAGCAGCAGCAGAAGCAGCCGCAGCAGCAACAGCAGCAGCAGCAGCAGCAGCAGCAAACTGGGGGTGAACTGGATCTGCTGTTTCTTAGAGAAACTTGGCCTGTAGCTTTCAGGCCTGTTTCTGCTGCTGAGGTGGGGGGG